CACTGTAGTAAAATGTATTTTATGTTATAATTGAAATACAGTAAAATTTGATTTCTATTTAAATTTGACTTCTGAATTTTGAAAGAATATGAAGCTATCAGTATAAGGTGACTTCAGAATGTAATAGAATAGATTTATGTAGCTCTACTGAATATACTACAATATGTGAACAATTGAATGCATGGCTGGGTGGATTTGAGCTTCTCAAACACATGAAACCTGGAGATTTCAACTGGTTTTTACATGTAATGTTGTTTTATCACACAAAACATGTCCTCACTCAACAGAAACACAAAGCAAAGTCTCAGGAGACTAAAAGTGATGATGAAGACTTGGGTTTGGATGAACAACATGCAGAATCTAATGTCTCTGAATCTGATTGAAATAAATAAGTCCATGCATTAGTAAGTAACTAGTCATATGCCTTATGCCCTTGTTTAGTCAAAGATTTAGTGCTACAATTCTATTTGTCTGACCTAAAGAAGGAGATTCAGGGTCCAAAATTAATTAACCAGAAGTTCTAGTGTTCAATTTCTGTTGATTCCAGTTGGATTCCTGTCGATTCCGGCCAGAATCCAGGGAATCTGCAGATTCTGGTAGGAATCAGTGGAGGAATGGAAAGTATTGCCAGTTTGGCAACCTGGGCCACCTCATAAAATTGAAGTACCTCTCCCTTTGCCTCAGGACCCTGCTAATATCGTCCCTGTTCCTGCAGATGACATCATACCTGTCCCTGTTGATAACACTGACAATATTCCACGCAGGTTTGGCCATCCTCTGGTCCCTAGCACCAAGGTGGCTGAGAACTTAGGTATCAAGCAAATACCACATGTTACCCAAGTGGTTATCGAATCACGTGAGGCTGGTCGACACCTCAAGGAACAACGGGCTCAGGCTAAGTTTGAACATCGTCAACGGGTCCTCGACATTAGAGTGTCTACCACAAATGTTGATGTTGTTCAAACACCTTCTTTGCCTACTGATGCTGTTCCAGATGACACTTTACCTCCCCTTGTCACCTTAGATTCTGAAGTGGATTTCGTCGTGTTTTGTGAAGCTTATGCTGCTGAACTTGCGTACCCCCTCATCAATCCATGCAACCCTGATGAACCCACTTTCTGTGAGGCCATGAAATCTCCTGATGCCACCAAATGGACACTTGGCATCCAGGATGAATTGAAGAGCTTCAAAGAGATGGGTGTTTATAAACTTGTACCTCGTTCTGAGGTTCCTGCAAGTCACAACATTTTACGTGGCAAATGGGTCCTTATGCTCAAGTGTGATGACCTTGGTGATCCTGTTCGGCACAAGGCTCGTTTCGTCGTACTGGGTTATGAATAGACTGGTGACCGTTCTGTATATGAGAAGTACCTGCAATATACAGACTGGTAAATCTGAGTTTAAATCCATGTACTGTGTGGCTCCCATGCCTCTTTCCATAAAAGGTTTGATGATTTCTGACCTCCCCTAAACAATCTGGTCCGGCCCATGCCAAATCTTCCCGGTCAGCTTCACGCATCTTGTGATGCGCACCGCGTCTCCACTGAATTTATGGCCTCAATGGCGTGAACTCGACATGTTTTATTATGGACAATGCATCTGTATCATCAAACAACATCAAGGCACTTCAAGAAATCCGAGACTTGCCTGTTGCACTGCTCAAACCAGCATTTGATGTTCTAATACCTGCCGACCATGCTCCAACAGCTGCTTTCTGGGCGCCGTACACTGACAAAGAGAGGAGCATTGGAATGCGAGCATGCCTTTTAATCTGGACTATCACTGACTTCAAGTTTGTTCCTTGGGAGTTCCAACTGGAGGCTACCATTGCAATCATGACTGGGAAGGACTCGCTCGTGGATGTCAGTACAGGCTATGGGAAGACTCTCTGCATGATAATACCTTGTCTCTTGGATCCAGAGAACTTATCCATGATTTTTTCTCCTCTAAAGTGACTGCAGGTGGTGCAAGTTATTGAATTTGAGAAGTACAGCATCAAAACTCTGGCTATCAACGAGGATACTCCAAATGATCCAAATCTGTGGAAGGTCTGAGATAACAAGACCCTCCTAAGCATCTACTCAAGTCACTTGGAGTCTAGATGATTCTTAACAGAAAGTTTTCGGCACTCTTGGTGCAACCCAAGCAGCTATTTATGATTGCAGGACACTTGCCTCGACTAGGACAGTTAATGCATGACCGCACATTTGTCAAACTCATCAAGCATATGCATGTAGATGAGGCGCATTTCATTTACAGCGCTGGAATGGAGCACTATGGTCTACCTGCCTTTCGAGATGCTTGCGGAATTTCGCATAAAACTTGGGAAAGGCATTCCTGTTCAAGCTCTTTCCGGAATGCAACCACCTCATATCAAAAAGGCAATAATCAAACACCTTCTCTTTGACAAAACAAAACTTTGCTCAATCAAACTTTCAAGTAATCATGCTAATACCATGTATGCAATGCATCTGATCGCTGGCGAGCTTTCCGATTTTTGCAACCTTGACTTTCTGGTGCCAGAGAATTGCCCAGAAGATATTTGCCTCCCAAAAACACTTGTTTTCCACAATGATTCCAATGAAGCTTCAAATGTAGTTCAATCACAGGAACTGTGCATTTGAGGCTTCTGGGCAGACTACTTGAAAGATGATTCAGTTACTGGTGAGCATGCAGAACTTTCTTTCTCTTCTTTTTATTGTTCTTATAGCACTTCCAGCACTTCCAGCACTTACATTCACGAAATGGTGTTGTGATCAGCACCCTGGCTCTGGCTTTCACATCCGGAAATTCTTCAAGGGCCACTTTTTGTATCAAGACAATATCAGACTGAAGCTCTTCTATGGCGATGTCAATGACTCTGACCGTGAAGAGATTCAACCACCCACGAAAGAGAAACATCGTTCAAAGAATAAAGTTCAGAATATGAAAGAATGGCAAGTGCTCAAATCACGATTACTCACCTGGCACACTGAAGCCTCCCAAAACAATCCTCTTGCTGCTGTACAACCCCCAACATTCATTCTCAATGAACATGGCATCAAAAAGTTAGCTATGCTGCACCCGAACAACATAAGGAACACAAGCCAGGTTGTCCATGCACTTGGGGAGACAGATGAATGGGACAATGAATGGTCAAAAAAAATCTTGACCATGGTTCAAATATACGATAATGAACTCAAAGGAGCTCAAACAGCAGCAGCAGCACTGGAGAAGGCTCGACAAAAACGAATCAAGATTGACTTGGACAAAGCAAAGTTCCGTAAGGAATCAGACCATATTTGAGCTGACACAGAACATCAATTCCATGAATCTGCAGCACAACAATCATCACAGTTTACTAATGCAGATGTTTGCCATAGTCTACATATTCAGAAAGAAAAGAGGTAACAGCTAGTTCTAATATAAATAATTTGTTTAGTGAAGTTTTGCTCAATCCAAGTCAACTTCTACCAATGCATCTGAAGGGCAACCCATAGCAAGAGGGGGTAAGGTGTCTGTATCCTCGGAGGGTTCAGAAGTGTAAAGGCAGCATTCCACCATCGTGATAACCTTGCGGTTGAATGTTGCGAGGGACGAGGATTTGAGTTTTTTTTCTCCCAACGCAAGAATATCACAGAAGGTGACTGCCTTTCCGTTACCCTTCCTGTTCTGTTTGAATATTTGCAGTTCCTCATCTCTTACTTTATCAGCGACACACCAGACAAGATGGGTTGTATCTGCTTTGGTATGTGTTGTGCCTTGGTATGCGGTGCTCATCGCTAAACCAACTTGTTTCTTGATCTTTTTGAGGTAGTCGATTGCGGTGGATATATTTCCAAGGCGATCCCACCTTGATTGAAGACCTTTGGCTGAAAGTAAATTCTAGAATTTCTAATTTAATGCTTGAACATAGCTTAAAACATGATTTCATTATACCTTTAGCTCTCCAATAAGGTGCTCAATATTGAGATCAATCAGCATCAAGTGGCCTTTGAGTCCTGAAACATTTACAAGCATGTTATCTCGCATGATATCCCTGGAAGAACATGAGTTGGCAATATTTGGAATGGTGAGAGACTACAAACACAAATTCAGGAGTCCAAACATGCTTGAGGTTAAATATTAAATGTAATATTTCTGTGCAGTAATTATTTCCCCCTGCACCACGAAACATCATCGCGAGTTAGGGGAGGATGTCTTCGATGCAACCTATATCACCATTTGAGATAGCTTGAATAAGTTCTCCAAGATATAGGAGGTCGTGAGTGAGAAGACGGAGATTATGGTGGGCTACATCATCATCTGAAGTAAGTACCTGGATGTGTTCCTTGTTGGGCATGTCGTTGTGTTGTGTATGGGCATCCGAATCAGTGTCAGTGTCACTATCTCTAGTGTTCGCAGGTCTGGTTCAGTCCGGTTTTTTGCCCCGAAAACAGGCAACCGCAGACCACAACCGGTCTAGGACCGACCCAGATATTGAGGGAACCAAACCGGACCACCTAGGACCGGTCTTTTGCGGTCCATGGACCGCGTTCAAACCGATTCAGACCGGTCTTTTTGCGTAAAATTTGTCATACCAATATAAACCATTTGTATCTCAATTATTATTACTCTAAAAAATAAACTGGTTATATATAATAGTATAACATATAAATACCCATCATTCCACCAATTCTTAAGAAATTTAATGAAGGTTTGACATAGCTATGACTGAAACTGAATTACATCTCCTAAAGACTCGGGCAAAATGTAATGTGGCAACTGTAAATTATTTGATGCATACCATATATTGATAGATGGTGAGTATATTTTCATACTTAAAATGTCAATATCCAAAAATTGAATCAAGCAAAATGATGAAAGTTTGAGTGAGTTAGAATTAAAGTCATTCTGGTACAAGTTGCACAAACAAGTATTTGTGCCAAAATGGATTTAGTTATATCTTTCTCAGTTCTTAACCATTTTTGATAAACTAAAAACCCAATTAAAGCTAATAGATGTGGTTACAAGGCTACGTAACGCACGTGACCGTTTAACCGGTTGCAACCGATTTAAACCGGTCTTTGAACAGTTTTAAAAGATTTTTGAAATGAGGCAACTGGCAACCGGACCAACCCCAAATTTGGGCAACTGCAACCAAAAAAAAGGCCGGACCATGGTCTGGTTCAGTTCGGTCCACCGGTTTTTTTTGGTCCTATGGACCAGACCTGTAAACACTAACTATCTCCCTCTTCTTCAGAAGAGTCCATTTCTTTGATATCAGGTTTTGGAACAGCAGTAGCATATTTTGTGAGAATTCCTTGTGCAACTGATAATAATACCTCTGGTGATGGCTTTGATTCAGAATACTGCTTCAAATTGCCACATTCAGTGTGCCAGGCATTCAACAAAAGGCCATCACGAATTTGCGTGAGACTGGATAGGAGCGAATGGTAATCTGGATGTTCGCCTCCAAGACGAGTTTTCTCGAGTAGAGCAAAAAAGAATACAAGGCTTCCTGTCTGTTCCAAAGTTCCTCGATGGACATGAAGGAGCAGCCAGATCAAATTAAGGCAAAGATGAAATAGCCCAAATCCGAGTTGGAAAACCTCTCACTGAGTCCATGGATTCAAGTCTTGAGCACAGAGAATTTGCCCAGAACGAATGTGTGAATTAGTGAGCTGATCATTGAATGTTGGGATAGCATACTTTGACAAGTCGTCAGGATGGCGCTTGAGCTGCGTGAGGTAGACATCTTCATGAAACAGAAGATTACCTTGAACTGTTGCTTCTTCAATAGTCGTTGCTTGGATTGGGTATTGCTCTGTTATGTAGCCTTCAGGCATAGCACATTGGGCTTTGTGTTGGAGAGAAGGATGTTTGGCGTATGATTTGAAATGTTTGGAGTACTTTGTGAGGACGTGGACAATGACAATTGAGAGTTGGTACTGAACAAACTCAAGCTGTCGCCAAGTCAGCTGTACATCGCAATTAAAGTCAAGACCCTTTGACTTTTTTAGGTGCTCCATGATGGGCGCGAGCATCATATTCTCAGGCTTCCCATTTCTGACCTTGTAAATGACGCCGAATGTCCCAGATGTAACCTTCGCAGGGCCAAGAGCCCCACGTTGCTCCACAAAGATTGAGGTACTGATGTTAACGTTATCATAGCAAAAGATGTGAGTTCCAGACCCAACATCAACAGCCAGTTGAAGACAGTGATTCGCAAGCAATTCAATGGTGTTCAAGACTGAGGTATAGCTGACTGAGAGCCCACACCAATGGAGAGCTTCAATAGTCTGTCGTGCACAGCCTGTTGCCCATAAAAAGAGACCGAATTGTGTGGGGAACCCTAGGGAGTTGTGAGAGCATTGGAAGCACAACTGCTTCATGATTATGTTGGAAGTCTGTAGGACATGATCAACATTTGAGCATTTGAACATTAAAAAAAAACTGACTGCGATAGGGGATTTCTTTTTGTTCTTTTCCTTTGCTGATGCCATTTCAGCAGCTGCCAAAAGAATTTGAGATAGATATGGAGCTTGGTCCTTGTGCCCTGCCACAGACCAGGCCTTGATAAATTCTGGAGTGATCGCATCCAGACCAGGCAACTTCTCAGACTTCTGTACTTGATCCATTTCTTCGCTTACTTTCTCGCAAATGATCTCCAGAGCATGAGGTAACATCCATCTATTCATTCATTCCTTTCCTTCCTCGTGTGAGTAGATACTAGCTTGCAGCATTTTTGGGAGGTTCTCGTTTCCTTGCTTAAAAAGCTTGTTTCGGTATCCCCAGTATCTTAGTTTTGAGTTGTCGAGTAAGTCGAGTACAACGTCAAAGGGACTCAGATGGCCATCATGCAAAATGCTAAGGGCGTCCTGGATCTGTTGTTCACACAATTTTGGGGCATCGAGATGTTGTCGTGCTTTGAAAGGTCCATCGTGCGCAGCAGGTACGTCAAAATTTTAAACAGGAGGCTGTGATTCAAGATTGTCAAATGAAATTGTCCTACACATAAAATACATTCAACGTTAAAGAAAAACACAATGATTAATATGCCTGAACTTGTCAAAAGAACCCCTGGTAGCTTCCTCCCTTCTTGATGTCAAAAATGTATTGGGTATTGATGTTGGGGTGAATTTGAAAGAAGTTGGTGGTATGTAGGGGTTTGTGGTGGTCAGAGGGTTGGCGTCTCTCAGCACAAGCTGGGGTATGGAGGGAGATGCAGAAAATTTGCTAAAACCAAGGTTGGAAGTTAGAGGGTTCGCTTTTGGAGGTTTTTGGGTTTTCTTTGTCAGTGTGAGTGTGGCAGATGCCAAGATATTGGCTGCGCTTCTGGGTTGCATAGCTGAAAGACAATTTTGCATTGGAAGCGAGAGGGAAGCAAATTGCAGGGCGGGAAGATTTGGCGTAAACTGGACTGGATTGTTAAGGGGAGGTCAAAAATTGTCAAACCTTTAATGGAAACTGGTGTGGGAGGCATGCGGTACAGGGATTTAAACTCAGACAGACCAGCCTGTATATTGAAGTTATCATATACAGGCTGGTCACAAGCCTAGGTTATGAACAGATTTTCAGTCAAGACTATGGTGACACTACTTCGCCCACTGCTCGCATGGAATCTGTTCGCCTATTACTCAACATCGCCGCTGCTAAAAATTGGGACATCCAACAAAACGATGTCAAGACTGCCTTCCTTTATGGTCTCCTTCCTGCAGACGAAGTGCAATACATGGAACAACCCGAATCCTTTGAGGAACTAGGCAAGGAAGACTGGGTCTGGTGTCTACAACATGGTTTGTATGGTATGAAGCAAAGCAGCCATATCTGGAACAAAACTATGCACAAAGCTATGTTGAATTGGGGCTTTACCTGTCTACATGCTGATCCATGTGTTTATTACAGAGTCTCTTTGTTGGGAACTGTTCTCACTGCTGTCCATGTTGACGACTTCCTGATTACTGCCAGCTTGCCCAAAGCCTCTCATTCCTTCAAGGAGGAGCTCAAATCACTCTGGACAATTTCTGACCTTGGCGAGGCATGCTTTTGCGTGGGTATCGCCATTCATCGCAATAGGGCTAAGTGTCTTGTCTCCATTTCTCAAACTGCACTTATTGACTGTATTGTCGAGCAGTTTGGCCAGACCGACGCGAACCCCATTTCAACTTCAATGGATCCTTCTGTTGCAAAAAGCCTCACCCGTCCCTTACCTTCTGATCCTCCCCTTTCCCCTAGCGATGCTCACAACTTGATGCATATTCCATACCGTTCCTTGGTTGGATTGCTCATGTATTTAGCGGTTGGCACCCAACTGGATATTTCTTTCGCCATCGCCTGCTTATGCCAATTTCTTGATTGCTACTGTTGACCCCATTGGAACACTGCCATATGTGTTGTCCGTTATGTTAAGGGTACACGCTTGCTTACTTTAACCCTAGGGGGCAATCCCAAGTTGGATCTTGTTGGATTTTCCGATTCCTCTCATGCTGACTGCCCAGATACCGCCCACTCCACAATGGGGTACTGCTTTTCCATTGGTGGCACCATCTTTACCTGGTCATCACGCCGACAGAAGACTGTTTCCAATTCTTCCACTGAAGTGAAATACATTGCTCTTAGCGAGGCTAGCTGTGATATAGGATTGGAAGGGAATGCCCAGAGGCCATAGTCAAACAATGGTATATAGCTAGATTTGGATATCTTACATAATATATTGATCTTTTGTCTTGAACCACCATCTTGTCAGCAGTCTTGCCATCCTCTTGCACTACATGTAGTGCTTTGTATATCTGTACTTCCTACAGTATGCATAATCATGTTGGGCCAGCTGAGTATCTTGTAACTGCTCATTGCTCACTCATGGGTGTTGATCCCAGATCCACCCATTCTTGCCTCCTCCCTCCCTCTTGGCTTCAGCTATGCAAGAAGTTCAGAGTGAATGCTTCACACTAGCCGCAAAGCCCTCTGGTTACAGCAATTCCTTCATGAAGTCCACCTTCTCAAGCCTGGACCGACTGTTCTCTTATGTGACAACAACGGCGCCAAGGCCCTTTCTTCGGACCCCACTCACCATTCATGGAGCAAGCATATCAATGTCCATCATCACTTTGTTCGCAAGCATGTGGACGACGGCTCCCTCACCATTTGGTGCATCCCCGGTTTCAACAATGTCACTGATATCTTCACCAAGGCACTGCCTCATCCCGATTTTACACACCTGTGGCCTTTCCTTGGACTCTGGTAATGCTTGTGCGAGGAGGAGCATTTCTGGTTGGTGTTTCGATTTTTAATCTTCTTAACCTAAGTAGATTTTATTTTGACCTTGCCAGCCAGTAGCTTTTTCCCACTAAGTTTTGACGCACCCAGTGCTCGGATTTCACCTATCTATGTCTCCTCACACCTATCTCCCCATGTTCGTCAATTTTGTTTTATTTTCCTTTTTCTTTTTACCCTCTCACCAATCCTCGATTTGAGGAGGAGTGTTGAAGTCTGCATCCGAGATCATGATCGAGGATGATTGTGTTACATAACCACTACTATATATACTGTACAGGGGTTCATTCCTTCCCTCAGTCGCTCTTCCATATTGGCTGAGGTGAGTAATGGATCCCGCCTTTACTATATCATTGGACTGACTCAAGTACTACTTGTAGGGTATACTAGGTATGGTTTCCAATGATATCCAGTCACTCTTCCATATCGGCTGAGGGTATACTAGTCCTTTTCCAACATGTAATAAATCATTTCGTCTTTGCAAATCTAAGCCTAAATCCTATCTTTTGTGAAGCTGATAGCTCGAGAAGGCAGCCTTAGGTTAATAGGTGCTGCATAGCCACTGAAGTAAAATACATTGTATATTTTTATACATTTGGATAGAGAGAGAAATGACTGAGCTACGTTGTTTACAAGTTTGGGCTGCCTAAAAGCAGTGGCCAAAACAAACCCTCTCAGTGGATTCATTCACTTAATTTCATCAAACCCATTGCAAAAAATATATTGAACTGGTGTTGTGGAAAGTACAAGCTCAATGTCTCAAGAAATTGGCCATGTGACACTGTCACATGGCATGTCACTGGTCATCACACTTAGCAGGGATTGCCCAACACTAGTATTAGTAATCAGGTAGGGTCACATGGCCCACCATTTTTCAAATCTCATGACTAGTGCAAGCAAAATCACTCAACAGTGCAATTTTTGGCTGAAGGCTTCCCCCAATCTCCAACTAATTAAGGAGGAACTTCATGCCCCAGGAGCTCATTGACGAGTTCATTGATGATCTGCAGTTTGACACGAAAACTCTGAAAACACTATTGCAAACCTCCTGTCTGTTCCTTCCTCAATGTCATTGTCATCTCTTTGCTGACATCAAATTGTCAAGTGTAGTTTACACAGGCCAGTCCCAAGTTATAGCCAGGAAAGCTGAGAAGCTTCAGGACATTTTTGTCAGAGCACCTGAGATTGCGAACTATGTCCACAGTCTGTTCCTTTCATTTCCTGCTTTCATGTCTTCAACATGCATCTTGTGCCAGGTTGGGCAAAGGCCTGCACGTGAAATACCATCCATCACGTCTTCGAAGTCCTGTAAAGTAGGTAGGTAGCTTGGTCGCCATTGTCCACGCTCGTTGTTTCAGATCCAATCCCTCCATTTCTCCCTTGTGCGAAGTCTGCCCTTTCCTCTGGCGATAGAATCCGCTAGCCTGCAATAACAATGATCCAGGGTGGTGTTCCATTCTCTGGTCCACAGACTAAACTTATCTTCAAAGATGTCTGTTGGAGGGAAAAGCCACCGCCCCATGCATCCGTTTGCACCTGGTCAGTACCCTAGAAGTAAGTCCTTTTCCTGTTCCAAGACCATGTTGTGAGTGAGGTAAGAGGCATCCTCGCTAGATGAATCATAAAAGCCTTTGTTGTGGACAGTAGTTTGAATGGAAGGGCCTGACATAAACTCCTTGACTAGTCTTGACCCTGCCCAATGATGTGTGATCCAGCTTAGCTGTCCTCCTTCTGCAATGAACGTGCAAGCATGAGGGCATCATAGTAAATTGTTCATCCGAGCTAAGTAGGCTGTGCAGAATGTAGTGTTGTTGTCCATCAGTGCCAGAGTTGTCTTGCAGAAGCCCACCCCATAGAGTGACACTGCCAAACCACAATCGAGGCTATTGACTAAGATGGGCCTGAATTGCCGTGCACGATCCAAAGAGACGCTAGGAAAAATTGAATGCCATGCTCAATGGCTATCATAAGAAGACACTTCACATTTCCGATGGTGATCCAGCAGTTGGCCCAGTACCTCATATGGGCTTCGCTTCCAATGTCTGGAATGAACAGGTGAGCTATCTCCAGATACTCTGGATTCCAAATGAAAGCAGGAGCGGACCAGATGATCTCGGTATACATTATCTTTGCAGATTCATCATGTAGCATCCTCCTGAACATTACCTTGGGCTGTTCATGTGCGATGTAGTATGGCTCCGATAAATGACTGGGAGATTGAGAATGGCAGTGCGAGCTAGGAAGGCTTCCTTCATTGGTTTGATGGTCGGCAGCTTGACGTCTCGCTCATTATAGCTTTTGGTCATTCTGACGAATCCATGCTGCAGGGCTGTTCACTGCTTGTGGGTCGTATAGTTCATCTGAAAGCTCCTCAAAGCAAACGTAAAGGAAATCCTTGTTGGTTGACTCGGTATCTGCATCGTCCTCGTCGACTGCCATGGCTTCCTGTGAGGGGTTAACCAGGGTGTCTGATAGACAATCCTGTAGTGAAGTTCTTGCTGATGTTGAAGCATTCATGGGCTGAAGGAGTGAAGGGTGTTGAATGGGTCGTTGCTGTAGAGAGAGGATGGAGCGAGGTGCCTGTGGCCTGTGGGGGGGTGACATGGTCTAACCGGACCAGCGGCGCATGTGACGGTGCCTAGCAAGGCGCATGTGGGTGTCGTCCAGACAGATTGACGGACCACCCATGCCTGGTGTGGGCATGGGGCAATGAGAGCCTTGACTCGGGCAAACACAAGGGTATGGAGATGATATTCAAGACGGACGAATGAAGTACATCAGGGCATGTACAAATGTAGCGAAGTCTCTTTGTACTTATTACTATCTAATGTGTCCATGAATAGCGCAAACTCAACAAAGGGGGCTTCGATTTGGATCTTGTATGTTTCACGGTGAGGCCTGTCTCGATGTCATAAAGGACCCCTGCCTTTGGCCCATAGGCTATAGCTGAACTTATAGAGTTCACGAATAATTGTTGTGTTATCTTCCCCTGGTAGCAAGGGTCTGTACTGACTAGGCATTGTCACGGGTAACCCCCGGGTACTTTCGGCCATACCCGTACCCCTACCCATGAAAACCCATACCCTCAACCACGGGTAGGGGTTTCTGCAGGTAAGGGTACGGGTTTTCGTGGGTTTGGTGGGTTAGGCGGGTCTTATGACGGGTAGCTACTGTATTTTCATTCACTATTGATCTTACTCTCAGTCATAAGTCAAACAATATCAAATTTTGGTGTACAAGTACATGACCTATTAACACGAAGACAATTATAACTGTATTCTATTCAACTGATTATGTACAAGCTTAATATCTCTTCCTCAAGTTGTGAATTGCTTTCAGTAGGTTGCAGTCATTCAGAATTTCCCACTTTGTTACATCCCATTTTTGGCACTTGTTACAGTCAATTCCCTGTGTTATCCTGAGTTTTCAATTGTTCATCCCCAGACTTGGTATGTACAATCTACACCTTTTTAGCTATGTTTCATACACCAGAGTGTAGTTCTCCAAATGTTTTGTTCTTGTGTTACAGGACTAACTTTGTCCAAAAAATGATGTGACATTCTTTTTGCCCAGTTAGTGTACAGTGGTCCCAGAGGCTTAGTGATTTACAGAACTGATGCATCAATGTCAATGAATGTTTGAACTCCAATGCCGGTGGACTTGAACAACACTGTTGACTTGCACAACTTGTACAACACTGGACTTGTACAACACTGAATACCGCATCTGGTTAACTTTTTTCAATCCTTGACATGGCGGTTGCATGGCGGCAGGATGGTTTTTACAATTGTATCCAGATCGACCTCTTCCAACGTTCCATTTGCTGAGTGCTGATATGAGTGTCGTGAACCAAAATTTATTGACGTTGAGAAAGTGATTGACCACCTTGGAGGAGAGTTGATAACAGCGCGTGATGGATAACATCATGATGGAGGTCCGGATCCGAGAACCCTTCCGACGACGAGCTTAAGCGCCCTCGGGACTTATATTACCACGTGGTTAGTCAACTTCTCTTGGATTGATTTTTCAACCCTCCTCTCACCGTCACCATGCGCCTGTGCGACGACTACGGGCCATTCGACTTTCGAAGCGGGTGCGTGAGGGATACATGGGGTGCATTGCTGCCCTTTTCCTTCCTTTTGGCCCTTTGTCTCTTCTCCATTCCGTTGCCCAGCGCTCTTCGCAAAGTACACGCAATCGTCAAGGCGCCGTTTCAGGAATATATAACCTTGCATGAGGCAGAGGCATTGGATGTAGAAGCTGAGGAGAAATACGGGGAGTTGGAATCAGTCCCACTTTGGCGCACGCTCGTGTGCGTGTTCGTCGGTATCACCGAAACCTTCTGTTGGATTGCGCATGGCTCGTTCAGCCTGTACAAAGATCCTCAGAGCGGTGTTCTTCCCTTTCTTATCGCCCTTGTCTGGCTGTACACCGTGATACGACCCATTGACCGTCCGACGGCTACGCCACCCTATGACATGTTCACCATCTACTTCCTCTTCCTGGTCTCTTCCGTTCTCCAAATTGGCGGGTTGATTTACGACCACACCGTCTTCTCCATCCTATATCCTCCTCCCCTCACCATTCTCGCCCTCGCCTCAAACCTCGTCGCAGTTATCGGTCTGTTATGTCTCATACTCAGCATGCCTCTCGCAGTTCCTAGCAACCTCATCGATCCATCTGAAATCGTGCGTAATCCATTTTATCCTCTTGACAAATAGCTAACATTAGACAGGGCCGATCCGTCACCCCAGAAGACTACACTTCCCTCTGGGGGTGGGTCACCTTTTTCTGGGTCAAACCCCTCGTCGACTTGGGCAGGGATAATACCCTGAATGAGAGCGACGTCTGGAACCTCAGCCCAACGATGCAATCACGCCCGATCTTTGTCAAGTTCAGCGCGATTGCGCAGTCGACGCTCCTGCGCCGCCTTTGGAAAGCCAACTCGCTTGACTTGATGTACGTTACCCTTCTCCCCTTACTTTTTCGCAGCTAACCTCGCGCCAGCCTCGATTTCTGCTTAACTTTTGTGAGCGTAGTGTTCAACTACGCAGGTCCCTTCTTCCTCAAGTAAGTTCACCCGGTACATCTACCTACCCTTCTTCCCTGATAATCCACCAAGATTAATCCTCGATGCCATCGACTTGGAGCACCCAACTCCCGAAAGCCAAACTCGAGCGTACATCTACGCGTTTCTGGCGTTCACGTGCACACTTCTGAAAGCCCAGGCCGACGTACAGCACCTCTGGTATGGACGACGCGCGTCCACGAGGATTAGATCTGAACTTATGGCTGCGATATATGACAAGGCGCTGAAGAGGAAGGATTTTTCGGGGGTTGTTAGTAAGGATGAGAAGGATAAGGATAAGACGACGATGGAGGGTAATGGGAAACGAAAACGTGTGTATTCATTCACCCGTTTTGTATGTGTGAGGCAGTTGCTGATGCAACCGATGATCTAGGCAAGACGAAAGCTGAGAAAAAACAAGAAAAGGAAAAGGCTGCAAAGGCGGATGATCCGAAGGCTGGTGCGGATGTGGGGAAGATTGTTAATCTTATGGCTGGGGATGCTAATCGCGTCAGTAATTCCTTTTTTTTTTTTCGTTCCGATATCGGCTGACGGATTTGGATTGCTAGATCTCACAAACCGTATCAGGCTTTTATTTCCTCTACGGAGGTAGGTATCTACTCCCCCCATCGCTGCGCTTACTGACACACAACCAACGCAGCACCATTCGAAATCCTCATCGCCGGTGTGTTCTTGTATCAGTACGTTCTTCCTCCTCCTCTCTCACCCAACACACTCAAACAAAAAAAAGACTACTAGGCTGGAGCGCATTTGCGGGGTTCATCGTCTTACTGGCGGGTTGGCCTCTGAACAGCTTCATCGCGAAACGGAGTATCCGGATCCAGAAGGGCGTGTTGGCGGCGAGGGATAAAAGGATGGGGGTGTTGAATGAGTTGATTGGTGCTGTACGTCCGCCTTACTCTTTCATCTTGTAATCAATCATGGCTGACATGTCGTGGTGGTACAGGTCAAGTTGATCAAGTTCTTTGCGTGGGAGGAACGCTGGATTGGGAGAGCGTTGGATGCGAGGGAGGTGGAGATGAAATGGATGATTAAGGGTGCGTGGGGATTTTGGCGTATCGTGCTATTGTCACTGACGATTCCCCCAGCTCGCGTCAATTCGGTTATGTTTTACCTCCTTTGGACGTGTGCACCCATCTTGGTGTCCATTGTTTCGTTCTTCGTGTTTGTTATGCAAGGAGGCGTGTTGACGATTAGTGTTGCGTTTACCGTGGGTCTCACTCATCTTCTTTTCAGTTATACGGTATGATTGATGATGGGTTTTGGGTTGTTAGTCTATCGCACTTTTTGGGATGGTTAGAACTCCGCTGAACGTCATTCCGACTTGGATAGTTCAAATTCTTCAGGTATGGTAGTAGTCTCCTCTCTTCCGTGCTTCATAACACCAACTTACAAATGATAAACAGACGGGTGTTGCGCTTAAACGTATCTCTGTGTACCTCGACGAAGAAGAGGTTACGGACCAAGTGTCTTCTTTGAAGAAGTACTCAAACTCAACGGAGCCCCACCTCCCTGGCGGAGACGATGAAGAGGGTTTGGGGCTGGAGAATGCGACTCTCAAGTGGAACGAAGTCGTTGATGTTGTGAAACAGGAGGAGGAACAGGATAAGATGAAGACGAAGAATGGGGTTCTGAGCCCAAGCCCAACGTCCTCCAATGACAATGACGATGTTGAAACCGCTGACGTCGAAACTGCCGCTAGCGATTCTGGATCGCTGTTGGCTGGGTTGGAGATGGACCATAAGTTCGAGCTTCGGGATGTTACGGTTAGGTTTCCGGAGGGACAGTTGTCCGTCGTCACTGGACCTACTGCGTCCGGCAAAACGGCACTTCTTGTACGTTATCTTATTCCTTCCTCTTGCTGTCCGCCTTGTCTTACTTGATCCCTCGTTTGTGTTAGATGGCGTTGCTGGGAGAGATGACTTTACAACAAGGCAAGATCATCATGTCCAAGAACACATCAAGGATCGACGAGAACGGGTACATGCATGCGATTTCGTACGCTGCTCAGTCTCCGTGGTTGAGGCATCAATCTATCAAAGAGAACATTTTGTTTGGATATCCGCTTGATGAGGAGCGGTATGATGCCGTTGTGGAGTGTTGTGCTCTCAAGCCTGATTTGGAGATTTTGGAGGATGGGGATAAGACGGAGATTGGGGCGAGGGGTGTTAGTTTGTCGGGAGGTCAGAAGGCTAGGTGAGGATTTGTGAGTGCTTTTTGGGGGTGATGACTTATCGGCTTTTTTTATGCAGGGTTGCTCTTGCTCGTGCGGTTTATGCTCGTACGAAATATGTCCTATTGGATGACCCCCTTAGTGCTGTTGTAAGTTGTCCCATTGTTCGTTCTAGAAGACCGAACCTGATCGTGCATGTAGGACAGCCATACGTCCAGGTTTTTGTACGAGAAACTTCTCTGTGGGCCTCTGCTCGCAAACCGGACAGTTGTAAGTTTGTCCATCAACGATCACCCTTCCATTGTTCATTCCCCGTCATAGGTCCTCGTCACGCACCACGTTGAACTAGTTCTCCCCGGCGCCAACTACCTCGTCAGAATGCTTGACGGGCGTATTGATACTCAAGGTCCGATACAGGAGCTACAGGCGCAAGGTATCCTGCAGAACATTACGCTGGACGCCGCTGTTGAAGTCAAGAAGGAAGAGCTTGAGGAAGCGGTGGTTGTAGCTGGTGACGATCTGGATGTTGCTTTGAAATCACCCCTTGAAGAGACCACGAAGAAACCGCGCAAGTTGGTCAAGGATGAACATCGTGAGACGGGGGGCGTCAAGTGGTCGATATATAAGAGCTACCTCAAGGCTTCGTACGTGTAGTTTCGTATGCACCCCTTTTTGCGCTGCTGATGATTTATTTGTAGATCGTATTGGACTTGGGTGATCTTGAGCGTTTTGATTGTTGTTATTCAACTGTTGGGCGTCGGTGAAAAGCTTTGGATCAAGGTAGGTCATGTTCGCGTGGAATGAATGAAGAAACTGACAGTCTTGCTCTTAGACTTGGGGTGAAGCGTACGGAAACAACGGAACGGCACCATCCTTCTACGCATTCCGATCTTTCGCAACGGCGGAACACGAAATCCCCATGGATGGACATTTTACGTATCACCAGTACTCGCCGTATCAAACTATCCCCGCCAAGAAAGGGATCTTCGGTGTCGAATGGCCAAGCGCGGTCGAGCACCCTTTGTTCTACATTGGTATCTATTCTGCGATTGGCTTTGCCAGTGCTCTGGCTAGTGTTTTGTCCGTCACTGCGCAGTATACTGGGGCGTTGAGGGCTTCTCGGATTCTGTTCAAGTACGCCGTTTTGATTGATTGACGTGGTGTCGTCGTCTTATTGTTGTTTGTAGGCGACTCCTCGTTACGGTTGTACGGGCTACGTTTAGGTTTCATGATACGACACCGCAAGGTCGGTAACGTTGCTCAACTTCTTGACTGATTGATGCTCATTTGTATTTAGGCCGAATGCTCAATCGTTTCGGAAAGGTGTGTATTGTCCCTCTTCTTTCATGTTCGCCCTCATCAACCTTGTTATTGTAGGACATCGAAACCATCGACTCCTCTCTAGCAGGTTCGCTACAAGCCGTGAACTCTTCCCTTGCCAGTTTCTTCGCTGCCATCATCACCGTTGCGTAAGTCCCCTCCCTTTGATCAATGAGATCTTGGCACTAACGTTGTTACCAGCGTCGTATTCCCGTACTTTTTGATTCCAGCCTTCTTCATTGGTTTTGCATATCGCGAACTAGCAATAAGCTACTTGAATACCGGTCGTGACCTCCGACGAATGGAGTCCAACACGCGATCTCCCATCTTTTCCGATTTTGGAGAGTTGTTGGAGGGTATCGTCACCGTCAGAGCCTTCTCTGCAGAGCGGCGATTCCTAAACAACCTCCACAAGAGGATTGACACGACTACCAAGGCTAGAGTGCTCTCTTTTGGATTAACCTTGAAACGAAGCTTACCGTTATCCGCAGATGTGGTACACTTTTTGGATGACTAATCGGTGGCTCCTGTTAAATTTCGACGCCCTGGGAGCTGTAGCTGTCCTGGTGTCGACCTTGTTCTCTATCGCCACGCTCACCGATGGGGCTGGTCTTGCTGGTCTTTGTATCACAAGTGCTATGGCTTTCACATCTTCAGGTGAGAGTTGCTTCGAGTATTTACGACCACGGCTCTGAACTCTTTCTAGTTTATTGGGCATGTCGATTCTGGACTGGTGAGGCATTCCTTTTGGTCGTTTCTTCGACTTTTTGATAACCCTCGCTTTTACAGCTTTGGAACTGGATCTCAAGTAAGTCCCTCTATGTGACGACGCCGTTTCATATTCATATCGAGTCTTCTTTAGCTCCGTTGAACGTGTTGTCGAATAGTGAGCTACTTCTTTATACTCTCATAGACGACCTTCAATTCAAGACTGTCATTTAGTCTGGACCTTCCACAAGAGCCACCTGCCGTCATCGAATCCAACCGCGTTCCCGCTTACTGGCCCTCAAGTTCTGACAACGACGCCCTTATTCGGGTTGAGAACCTCGAAGTCAAGTATGCTTCGGATCTCCCTGCCGTGCTTCACGATGTTTCCTTTACCCTGAAGGCGGGTGAGAGTGTCGGTCTCCTGGGTCGTACTGGTTCGTTTTGCTTTATTGTCATCCCGACGTTATCTGATGTTTGCGTTGATAGGAAGCGGAAAATCAACCTTGGCAATGAGTATCCTGAGATTCGTAAGTTTCCTGATAATATGCCTCCATCATAGTCGCTTAGTCGCCTTTCAGGCTGATCCTTCCAGCGGCCGTATTATCATTGACGGAATTGATATATCTACAATTGGTATTCATGATCTCCGTTCGAGATTGGTAGGCAAACGGTTTCTGGAATCGTCATCAGCATCTAACTATCATCGCAGACTTTCATACCCCAAGACGCTACGTTGTTCTCGGGCACTCTCCGAGACAATCTTGATCCGTTTGGTAGGTGTATGGTGATGGTGTTTTCCTCTTGCTAAATCTCTCTGTTCAGGCGAACACACCGACAGTGAATGTCTCGACGTCCTCCGCCGTGTTCAAATGATCACGGACAGCCCTCAACAAGTTTCCCGAGAACCATCTGCCTCTTCTTCTCGTGCCTCTTCCAGGCCAGCATCTATCCGCGATGTGGAAAGAGGGAGCACAGTTGGCTCTGTGTCTACTACGACCGAAGTAGACTCGAAAACTACCGTCACGCTGGACACCAAAGTTTCGGCTGGGGGAACTAATTTCTCCCAAGGTCAACGGCAACTTATCGCCATGGCCCGCGCGTTACTACGGCGCTCCTCAATTATCGTTTTGGATGAAGCTACGAGTAGTATTGATTTCGCAACCGATGCGAAGATCCAGGCTACCATTCGCGAAGAGTTTAACGACTCCCTTTTACTGACAGGCAAGCCCCCTGCTGCCTCTATTCTTTGTTTTATCTGACCCGATTGCAGTTGCTCACCGTCTCCGCACCGTTATCGATTATGACCGCCTCATCGTTTTAGACAAGGGACATGTAAGTGCATGATGCGGACTTGCAGTACATCAGCTCAGATTTGCTCTACAGATCGTCGAGTTTGATTCTCCGTGGAATCTTATACGAAAGGAGGATGGAATCTTCCGCGGCATGTGCTTGAAGAGTGGATCTTTCAGTGAGTTGGAGGCGGCTGCGAAGGCCAAGGCGGAGCAGCAGTGAAATGTTCCGAACTAATCTATTCACTCTCATTTACACTTAAAATTTAGCTATGTGTTCAATAGATCTTGCTGCTGCACAACTGGATTCTGGCATTAAGGATGCAGCTTTCAAATCGCATCCGCAGCTTTACCAGCATTATACGTTGTCGCGAACGTCTCCCTCAAAGCGGCCGCCCATGGACCGTAGTTTGCAGGGTCCACTGAGACTTCAGCCTGTTCAATATGGATGAACTTGCCAGATGCACCCCGTGCAGTGGCCCCCTGATTGCATACATGTGAAGGGTCAACATTGTTGAGGTACCTCCCTACAACATTCTTTGTCGCTGCAAGGAGGCAACTGTCGTCCGAAGGAAGAGATATGTTCCAATGAGAAAAGGATCGTATGAGTTGTGTCTTCAGACGCTTGACGGGACGATCAATGTCGTTGGTGTACCATGCGATGGACGCCTTGCCACGTCCTAAATGTAACGTAGTGAACATTTGAATTCGAGGAAGAAAAAGCAGCCTGTACGATATGACTTACCCAGACCAGCGGATAGAAACACTTGTTCAGAAGGGCAGGTTGTCGGCGCTTTCCCATGCATTTGAATGAAAGCACACGACGTGGCAGGGCACCCCCCATTCTCGTTCTGCCACCCTATGATGGCCAAGTTCGCATCAAAGAACGGTTCGCGCTGATGAAATATGTGAGTACTTTGATTCCGTGATTTTGATTTCATACGCACGATGCTATGAGTAGGATCCGTCATATAGTAATGCTGACCACCTTGACTAGAAGTAACGCAGTCAGAAGGCAATATTGAAGCCGTCCGCTTCCTCCCAGTGATGAGCAGGCTCTTCGCGCCCGTCGCCTTGAACAAGGAAGCTGCTTGCTGTGGGGTGTCCCCGTCTCCACCGGGCCATCCTGGATGTGGAGCAGAGAAATGGATAGAACGTGAAACGTCCGCACGTAGTTCGGGAACGACGAAGAGGCCCCATCCTTTCGCGTAATGTCCCGATTCGACGCTAGATTCGTAGAGTACGCAAAAAGCGGTGCCGGACGAGTCGGTGAATGGCGCGACGGATATTATTGTGTTGATAGAGGGAGGTATAAAGATTGAAGAGCAGTTTCCATCCACGTTTAAGACTGCTGTTATGACGTCTGACCACGCTTGTCGTTGAGTAGCGTTTGGCTGTGCTGCGTCGTAGGATGGGTAGTCGGGGTATTTTCTTTCCGGAACTGTGAAAGGATGGAAGCAGTCGATAAGGTGCTCTAGAGTGGTGGATGTTGAAAGACAGGTGGAAGTTGATCGGGATGGTACCAAGTATTGAGCAGCCAAAAGAGCGAACTTTGATAGCTGATTCGGCCACATTCTGCTGGCGTGCAGGAACTTGAGCTGTCGTTGATCAACGAATTGAAAGGTAAAATGGAAAGATGAGGCTCACCTCGGAGTTGGATGTACACGTCCGCGTTACCTCACCCACATCACTCGGAACTACATACGTTCATGAAGTTACGAGAGATTGGACACGTTTAGAGTCCAACGACGCTGAGGGCGACGAGCAAGTTGGTTTTGAGTGGAGAGTGTAAGTCCGATAAACTCGGATTTCGGTTGATGCCATCGCTTGGCCATCTGCCTCCGAGATATAAGTATAACAAATCCAATCGTGAATTGTAAACGGTCGCATGGTATACGTTATAATACATAAAAATCCCTGGCAAAGTACTGAAGAGGGAAATCCATAAATCAGTGCGCGGAGCACCCACGGAGCACTTGACCCAAACTTGACCCCAAAATTCAAAAACCGCCAATCTTTGCAGACGTCTTCGCAGTGCGTTCGAGCCAATTTTGACCCAGTTAACATTCAACCCATCAATAATGGGGATCTCCTAGTCACCTCGACACCCCGTTCCTTCTTCATCCCTCGTTGCCCCGAAGGACGGCTGAGTACGACTTGCGCTCGCGCACCTGTACGTCATCGTCATACAGATCCTCCCAGTCGTCCTCCCACTGTTCAGTGGGATCGATATCTGACTCTTCCAGCGCTATCACGCGCTTTACCCCTTGAACAACCTCAAAGTCCTTGGCCACGCCTAAAATTAGGCACGTAAGTATTCAAACGTTGAAGCATTGAAATTGGCGTTACCCTTGGCCTTGGCGGGCCGCGCGATATCCAGAAGAGAAATTGTTAAAGGTTGCACATTGCGAGATGGCGTGTCGTCAAAGTCGGACGGCACATACACCTCCCAAATCTCAGTAAATTCGGGTGTTGTATCGCCGTCGTCAACCTCACAGATGAAAGCATCGCTGTTCCATGTCATGCCGTCCATGCGACCGGGGTTCCGGCGGGACGTGGTGGTCTTCTCAGCCTACATGTCAAGGTGAGTGGTTGTGCAGGAGAAATGACTTGAAGGAATATAATACCTTGGTTGCGTTGAGCATGGCCACTCGGAAGTTGGTGCACTCGAACTGGGCCCTCGCGCGCATAGTCTAAGTTCAAAATCTTATGATGAGCAATACCATACAGAGAGGAAAGCAGCCCCACCTTTGTGAAAGCATCACGGGGAGAGAGAGTGGCTTTGGATCGCGTCATCGTGGTGAAGGTAACGCTTGTTTGGTTTCCTCGAAGATGTGTTTGAGTGGAAAAAGGGAAAAATTCCCGACTGCCCAAGTGAGGCCGCTTGAAAATCTGTTAGTGTACTCACTAGGATATAAATAAGGTCTCAATCATCATTTCGAGTCACACGGCATCTGTGGAACCTATTCAAGTCATCGCATCAAACGGCACCGGTTTGACCAAGGGGGTGGCGGAACGTGGATCCCGGATATAGGGTTAGGGGGGGGGGGCTCCGCTTGGGGGTCGAAATATTTTTTGTGACCTACTTCCAATAAGCCAAATCGCGCTCCCCAAAGAAGTTGGGAAGTTCAGATGCACGGCAAACACTTAATATACGTATTTACTATTTGAAATTTTGACTGAGAGCCAAAAAAAAGTCAACGAACTCTTTTATAACGCCGCTCAGGTTCGCAAAAAGATGAATTCGAGAGCCACGAAATGCATGAAGGTTAGCCGTTCATCGAAGTTTTGGATGTGTCTGACTTGTATCGATACTATGGGGGTGAAGCGTCGTCGCAGGTAGTAACAGATCCAAAAATGTAACATACTACATACTTACTTGAGTATGTTTTTGACATAGGAACTCGGAAGTTTCCTTTTTTGGGGGGTAGGGGGTAGGGGGGGGGTAGGCTGAGGGCGCCTTAATTCGTAATGCGACTGTATATCTAAAATCCACGTTCCGCCACCCCCTTGGGTTTGACATTGTTCAGCATATGTTGGAAATTGCCCGAAGTCTTGAGAAAATGTCGTGAGTCAGAGGTGGTAATCTTGAAGGGGTGCACAGCTTCGTAACTCCACCCACTGGTTCGAAGGCGTTGCATCACTGGAAAGCTCCGTCGTTCAGCAAGTTTCCAAGAGATACTCCACTAGTTCTAACGCTATCTTGTGGTCTATCCGATAGCTGCGTTGACTGCGTCGTAAGCGAGTTCTTGTAGTAAAATTGCTCTTTGAATTTTGAAAATCGGGGTGGACACGGCCTGTCCACAAGGTTCAAACCCATGCCACAAGAGGGACGTTAGTCACAGACCTAGCCCGAGACCTTCGGAACACCAAGAAATGGATGAAGGCAGTCGACAAGGTCACCCTCTAGAGTTGTAAATGTTGAAAGACAGGTGGATGGTGATTGAGATGGCGAGATGGTGCCAAGCTTTGAGAATCCTGAAGAGTGAAGGAGTTGGCCGCATCCTACTGGCACTTCATGTGACGTGAAGGCGTTGGCCGGTTTAACAATGGCAGCGAAGCGGCAGGCAGGAACTTCAGCTTGTCGTTGATCAACGAATAGGAAGGTAAAATGGAACACCGAGTCGGGATAGGATGAACATGTCTCACCCCACCCAGGTCAGTTGGATCTACATACATTCAGAACATTACGGGAGGTTGGAGCCACGTTTAGTATCCAACGACGCTGAGGGCAGCTCCGAGTCGTTGAGGCATGTTGGTTTCGTAGTGAAAAGTGCAAGTCCGATAAACTCGGATGAACTTCCCGTTGATCATGATGCCGCCCGGGCCGTCACCCGAAGTTATTTAGCACTACTACTATGTTTGTTCAGGTGTTTGAAACTGTGGATTATCTTACCTTCCACTTGCCTTGGGGCCTTGCAACTTTCACAGAAGGTGTATTTATGTATTACATTCATTGTCTCAAAATTTTAGAAAGAGAGTCAAAGATTTGTATTCTGGGGACATGAATTTATTGTTTTCATTACACCAGACAAACAAAAGTAATGGAATGTTCTCTCAGATCCCTCCAGATCGGCTTGACTGTTTATTCTAAAACTCTTCAAAGTTTTGTTTTTTGGGAAGTCACGGTCTGTCACGTTCATACACCAAAAAATGTGATGTTTGTGACTGCCGACTCAGAGGGTCTGCCAAATTACTGATAGGGCACAGTAGTACACTGCCAAATGTTCAAAATGCTGATGGCATCTGGCATGAATCTCTACTTGACAGGTTTTTGATGGAGGTTGCCTCGGCATGGATGGCAGGTGGGTCGGAGCTTGGGGCATAAATGTTAGGCCCAGTGGCTCAACACCTGACCCACAGGTTTACAACTCTTCTCAGGGAGACCTGTACCACCGATTTTCCTCAGGCAACAAAATAGTGTACTTAGGATACAGATTACTTGTAAGAAAGTAATAAAATGATACAATGAGCACTTCCAAGTTCTTACAGATGGAAAAAAAACAGGCAATCTTGAGCTCAACATGAGAAGGCCTGTGTGACAAGTAGTGCTTGGAAGTCCAGTCCCAAGACTGCAAAAAGACCAAGACCAAACTGGACCAAGACTTCCCAGGACCAAAAATTCTGAGGACCGCCAAAGACCGCAACTGCAGTCCGGTCCACAGTCCATTGGCAGTACGAAAAATGGAAGACCAAGCAAAAAACGGTCTTAATCAGTCTCAACTGGTCTTTACACCCTCAAATGCAAGCAAGCCCAAGGTCAGAACTTAATATTTTCAACTAATAATTGTTGTACTTAGGCACTAAAATTCATACTTGAAATTTGATCTCGCACTCGGAAGCAGCCAGATATGTCCATCGACAATTGTTTTTGGATTGTTTGTTGTCTTCAACCACCACCCCTCAGGCCTCCTTCCCCACTTTCTCATACTCCCTCAATGCGAAGGGCTTCAAATGTGTTTGTAAGTTATTTGCTTGCTAATATATTGTATCTACTAAAATGTCTGTTTAGTTAGGGCAACGACATAACGAGCAACAATTGCCACGTAACCTGCCACTCCCCCCATTGAGGGATGTTGGCTGTCTTTTGAACAACGCAGGTGGGAGATGAGGCTTAAGGGGTGACAGAAGCCAAGGGGAGACCCACATGGTGTGTAACAGAATGAGATCAACTCGTTCCACACTCACCTGCCTTTTTTCCCCAGTTTGGCATATGCAACATCAACACTGAGTTCAAAGTGAGCAACCACCACCCACCTTGTCACCAGATCCCAGCCCCATCGACTAGCATCCATGCCGTCACCCAATCCCAACAATGACAGGGATGCCACATCACTACCCATCAGGCCATCATCACCCAGCATCTCTGAGGCTCCACACAGTGCCACATTGAACCAATGTCGACCATGCCAACTGATGTGACCTCGATACCAGCCCTATCAACTAGTGTCCGTGCCATCACCCAATCCCAACAACTACAACACACCGCACCACGTCGAACCAACGTCAACCATGACAACTGGTGTGACCTCGTTAAGTACGATCCTACAGCCCAGCGTGCTTATGGTCACACCAAGGGGGTACAAATGTACATACAAAAGGTTGCAGGGTGTAGAATACTTCAATGTAATTTTTCATATTACAATCCCCCCTCACTACCCTGAAGACTGGTCTAGGACTGGTTAGAAACTGGTCTGAACCACAACTGGTTCAGACCGGTCTTGAAACTGCAAAAACCCACAGAAGACTGCCCTGAACTGGTTTCTATTGGTTTGGTCTGGTTTTTTGAGGCTTTTCAAAATATAAGGACTGGTCTTGGTCTTGGTCTTGCCAAAAAAAGCCCAAAGACTGGACTGGACCGGACTTCTAAGCACTAGCAACAAGCTCTCGAGAATTTCACCAAGTCATTTAAACTCCATGCTATATGTGGTTATTTCCAAACTTCAACCAGAACCAAACTCAACTTCTTCTTCACCACAACCATCTCCCCTTGCATGCCTGGTTGCTCGCTCCCATCCTCATTATTGAACCATTTGCTATTCTCATCTGTGTCCCATTACCCAGTGTTCTGTGCCCCATGTAATCTCCCCCATGTTGCCTGGTGAACTGTGATTCGGTTTTCGGTTTTGATTCAGATTTCAGTCTCGATTTCGGTTTCAGGCAGTGAGCTGAGAGGTGACTTTGATTTGCACTCCTTGGCCGTTCCGTGCTTGCTGGAGCATGTTCTGCCGTTATTCCACCTGATTGCCTCCAAAAGCTTTGGGATGCTTTTGTTGGCATCTGGATATCTGCTGAGGAACACCCCCTCATCCTGGCACAACCTGATTGACAATCAATGATTTTTTGGGAGGCAATTCAAGAATCCTGACTGGCATACCTTACATACTTGTCAAATATCATCTTCCTCTGCATCCGCTTGCCGGCCATGGCACTGCTGCCCTTGTACCACTCCCCTGGCCAGTCCTTCAAGGCATGCTTTGTCACTGGATCAACTTCCTCCCACTGCTTGATCACTCTTTTCCATGCGCCAGGGGATCTTCCCAGGTCTGGAATTGCGAAATTGAAGTGCTGGAAGGTCGACGTGATGATGCTGGCAGCCTCAGACATTGTGCGCTGAGGTAGAGATGTTTGGGGGCTCCCTTTCCTCATGGTGGCACCCTCAATTCCATGTGGTAAGGTGTAGGGTGCTGATGCAGCCCTTGATGCTTGCAATTGGGTGCATGGTGTGTGCTCAGGTTAGTGTTTGAAAGTCCGGTTCGGTCTGGTTTTTTGATGCCCAGGGGCATTAACTGTAACCGTAACCAGTCTGCCTTTTCCCCAGAAGTCAAAAGACCAGACCGGACCACAAAAAGACCGCAGACTGCGGTTTTTTGCGGTCTATCGGTCTGCATCGGTTTTAACTGGTTTATGACCAGTCTTTAGGCCAATATTTTAAAATGATGAATTGGTAAACTTATTAACATCTCTATTAGCTTCAAAATGAGCTCAAGAACGTTAAATTCTGTTAGGAATTGGTGCTTCTATAAAATAAGTCTGTTACATCTATTATTGCCAAAAGTAATTTACATTTTAATTCATATCTCTCTCGTTTTTTGACCAAATCGTACGTTCTTGGGTGCGTTTTAAAGGATCTTTAAGGGGCTACAAAAGACCGGTTCACATTAACCGGTTTTTTTTGCAGTCTTTACATCTCAAAAATAAAAAGACCAAACCGCAGGTTCGGTCTTTTGTGGTCTTGGTCCGGTCTGGTTACGGTCTTTTTCCAGTCATGAGACCGGACTTCCAAACACTAGCTCAGGTCCAACCAATATATCTGATATCAGATCTGTGAGTCCATGGGCAGTTGGACAGGTATGGGAGAATCTTGTTGTGATTGTTCTTGTGAGCTCATCAAATTTGCGATTGACACAGTCTTGAATTTGTCGAACATCTTCACCTGTTGCATGTTGCATCACAATGTGTTTGCCTATGACGCTTTGGTCCACTCCAAGGGGAATTGGATGCAGCGTGTTGCTGTGCCCTGTCTCGAAGCTCTGCAGTGAGTCAATCAGATACTTCATCAGCATGTCAACCTTAATAATCAATTTTCATGAGTAGCTCAATCCTTGCCCATGACTAAAACTTATGTGCTCTCCAACTGCCCATCCACCCCACCACCGGATCCAGCTAAGCAGCCACCGCTTCCCGATGGGCATGTACATGAACCTGTATTGAGTGCTGCCATGTCGAAAGCAGTGTGTCATGTAATGCTTTTCAAGTCCAGCAGCTGTTGTGAACTTGGTGAGCAAAGTTTGCAGTGAATTGTAGCTCATTTCGCATTTAGGGTGGATCAATCCATTCGGGGCAATGTGGGGGAATATATAGTCATCCTTTTCAACTTTCTGGTTGGGTTGGAGTTTTTGGAGGTATGCCCGCCATTTTGAAAGGTGTGCATGCATGTCTATTGTGGGAACATCTTGGTGATAGATCTCATAGATGTTGCCTAAAACACAGGTTAGCACTAGTGTTTGAAAGTTAGGTTAGTTAACCGGAAAATAACCAGAAAATAACCGGACCTAACCGTAACACTAACCTAACTGCGGTTAGGGTTAGTTGATTTTGAAAATGGAATAACCAGTTATAACCAGCCCTATTATACACCTTCAAAACGCACTTGAGAACGTCGAAAACGCTTAAACTTTGACTAAGTTACAGTCAAATCTCTAAAATATCACTCAAATGTGTAGACTTTCAAGGATAATTGCATAAATATGTCAATTATTCACCGATTTTAGTGTTCTTGGGCTCGTTTTAAAGCTAGAATATGCAGAAATAATATCTATCAAGATACATATGAGCATATTTGCCTTGTTATAACCGATTCTTTATTTTTCAGTCCTAACCGGTTAGTAACTGCAAATAACCGACCATAACCAGTTAGTTGCGGTCCAGTTAGGTTATTTTAGGTTTCGGGACAAAGGCTAACCGGTCTTGGTCTCGGTTAGAGCCCCTGGGCACCCAATAACCGGACCTAACCGGACTTTTGAACACTAGTTAGCACCCTCATGCAATGACTCTCTACAATGCAAGGTACGCACTTGTCCATGGGCCATCATAGCCTTTTGCGTGTTGCCACCCTTTTCTGTTCTCAAGCAAAAATTTAAAGTGTGGGATGTAGTGCGGTGATGGCCCCACACAATTGTCCTTGATGTCTTGGTCTTGCAAGGTGAGTAACTCGAAGCATCTTTCATTTTGAGATCCTAAGTTTTGAGCAGCATCTCATCAAGACATGAAACTGCACCTAGTCCAAAGTGTAAATGCCAAGCTGATGAATGCTCTCATGAGTGCATGCTCAGCACAAAATTTTAAGGTTGCAAGATCTTTGATGGGCATTGTAAGCATCTCATCGGGACACATCGTTTCTGACCATGCCATTAGTATTTGCAGCTCCTCTATTGTCATTGCCTCCGTGTGATTCTGGACTGATGCATGGCCCTTCTCTGCAGAGGTCTTGTCTGTGCCCCACATGTTCTGATCAGTGCCGATCGGCAAGAGGATTTTTCTGATCAGCATTAGAACTCCTTCTTCCCCAGCCATTTTGGCCGGAAAGCAACTTGGCAATGCCCCCACTCAGCATTACTCAGTGCTGATCAGCACTGATCAGAGTGCTCAGCACTGAGTGAACTGATCAGTGCTGAGTCACTGAAAGCTGAACAGAACTGAGTGATGCTGAACAGATCTGAGTGTTACATGAGTATTACAGCTGTTATTATAATAATAATAAATATGTGCATGAGCAAGGATTGAACACAGGCCTCAGGAACTGTCACATGGCTAAGCAATAGCAATGCAACCACTAATGATCAGTACTGAACCATCCTGATTGTAGAACTCTGATCAGAGCATGTGGGGGAGGGTAAAGTACTGCCATCTACCCAGCTAGCTACACTAACTGGGCAAAAAGATTGTCTGATCATTTTTTGGACAAAGTTGGTGCTATAACACAAGAATCAAACATTTTTAGAACTAAGCTCTAGTGTATCAAATATAGCTAAGGAGGTGTAGATTGTATATACCAAGTCTGGGGATGAACAATTGAAAACTCAGGATAAGGCAGGGAGCTGACTGTGACAAGTGCCAAAAATGGGATGTAACAAAGTGGGAAATTCTGAATGACTGCAACCTACTGAAAGCAATTCACAACTTGAGGAAGAGATATTCTGAACCCTGGATTTCCCTGCTATTGTTATGAGTTTCATAAAGTCTCTGGGCTAGAAAATTTTATATCCTCCTCTAAAAGGTAAATTTGAACTTATTCTCCATTTTATGTATTTTTTACTCAATATATTTGTTGGAATGAGGTAAAATGACTCCCTATTGTTGTTTGTAGTGTGTATAATACAAAAGGTAGGTATAAATGTCAAAATGAACATTGCATGATGTCTGTAGAAGCTAATTCCCAGAGTTTTTCTGGAAGTAAACAAGTATCTACAACATTGGTCCTTCTTTTCTGCAAGAAGAAAAAATGCTAGCATCCTTTTGAATTGATATATGGAGACTCAGGATGTCTTTTAAACAATGCCTGAAGTATAGCATGATAGCAAATAAATTTACACTGGGTATAACTTGAAAAGTCTCCAATAAAAGTACATTTTGCATAGAGCAATCATCCTGGACCAATCCTTGACATTTTTCTTGGTGAATTGGGGCTGAAAATATTTCACAAGGCACTTCTCATGCCTAGTAACACTATCCCCAAAAAAATAAACAGAGGTCATATTTA